GGGGGGGGGGGGAGACTTTCAAAAGAAATGCTCAAGTCACTTTTTACAAACCATTGATCACTGTAATTAGAATTATAGGTTAGAAATAAGTCCACAAAGGAGACTTATACAAGACTGAGGTTAATGTTATTTTAGGGTATGAAACTTGGATTGGTTTGTCTGATACCAGAACTGTGTAATATCACTGGGCTTACAGATGCTGTGAGACAGGACTTCAGAGTAATGAAGGTCAGTACAATTGGAAAAAATGAAACACAGTAGAACCATAGGTGGTGATTGGATGAATGTGTGGATTAAATGATTTTTTATTTGTTGTTGGGTATGATTACAATGTATTTCTCGCCTGATTTGAAGAAAGGAATATTGAATTTGACTTACATCACTTAATGGCAAACTATTTTCAATCTTTAAAGGCAGAAGGGGTATATGGTCACATATGGTTGAACTTAGATTATCCAGATTTTTTGATGATCTGGACTCACTTTTCTGGTGCCATTTTTTTTCACCAATTTTAATTTATCACATCAAAGATCTGTAACAACTTTTTCCCGTCAAACAAAGCAGATGTACTGAAACAGTGTTGACACTATTCTGTTAGTGCAGCTTTGAAGAATAATCAAATTAGTGACATACACAGTAGCAGCTTGAAAAAAATTTATGTACAGTTGTTTGGCTCATAAAACATTTTTGTACATACTTTGGCAAATTTTTCCTTTATTGCACAATGGTCTGAGACTGTTGTTTAATTCTTGTGTAATATTGATTCAATGTTGGGTATTCAATTTTATTTTTCATATTTTTGACTATGCAAACTCTTGATTATCTGGACTATTTGGCCCAGTCCACACAAGTGGGAATAATCAAGGTGCAATGGTACTATGTAATTCAGGGACAAGTGATTATGCAGCTCTTGTTATTCTATGCAGGACATTGCAGCACACACTAGAGTTGGTCCTATGCAGAGGCAACAAGCAATGACGAAGTTCATTGAGAATATCAACTCTTGTCCTGAGGTAAAGTTCTGCATGTGTAATATTTGAAATTGTTTGCTATTAAATCTTTGTTTGCTACTAAATCTTTTATTTTGTATGTTTGAGAAACCCAAGGGAACTAATCAGGAATTATTGAATCCTGAGTGAGAATTTGTTTTAATCTTTAAGCCTGCCCATTTAAACCCCCAAAGGTTTCATTGCAGTTGTAAATTATTGGGATAGAAAAACAGATGTAGCCTTAAATTTTCAAATCCTTTCTCACAAACAATGAAATTGGTCTTATTAACTGATGTGCTCTGTAAATTTCTTTCTTCTGCCAGGCCCTTCAAGAACTTACATCTTGGGGAGTACAGCTTGATCATACCATGCTTCACGTAAGTTGGTTTGTGGAATATGGCAACCAAAACCTGTGACCCACAGATGATCAACCCTCTTTTTGCCATAACCCCTAAAGCAGTAGGCCAATCACAAATGTGCACCTAATGATAAAGAAAAAGCATGAGTTAGTTAATCATCAGCTTAAAGTTGATAAAAGCAGATAAGCTTTTGTGGCAATGTTGAAAAGGTAATATCTATGACCTTTACTTTTTTTGAAAACAAGTTAAAAATTGATACACCCATATCTGACAAACTACTTGAAAAGAGGGCTTTTGAAAACTTCTAGTAGCATTCTATATAAACCTCAATTTTATCAAGAAGTAATAAAGTAAGTAGTTTAGTTATACAAAACTGATTAGAAGTCAACATTTTATTTTTCCCTCTTAGACTGAAGGTCGTCTGCTTCCATTGGAGAAGATAGTCCTTGGAAGCACATCATTTATTTCCAGCCCTCAGGCTGACTGGGGCCAGCAAGCTGTCAAGGAACAAGTTATTACTCCTGTTCCTCTGCATAACTGGTTGGTGTTGTATGTCAACAGAGACAAGAGTAAAGCTGTGGAGTTTGTTGGCATGATGAACAAGGTGACTCCAGCAATGGGTATTGAGGTAAGAGGTCTGATGTCATCTTAACAATAGTTGTGATTTATGGAAGTCAAAAGAGGGCAAAATAGTATAAATTTAATACTCAGAGCCCAAATAAAAATGAGCTATGGCAAAAGGTTGGAGAAAAATATATTCTTAAACTATATCAGTCAGTTTTTCTGTGTGTGGTTTTCTTGGGTACAAGTGTGGGTTTTCTCCCCAAAACTTGTACTATGATTTATTTCTTAGCCACTCAACTGTTTTCAAATTATTTTGTACACAAAGAAGTTTCTTTTAGTCATGTTTGGCTACTGTTTTATTCGCTGCTCATCCTCTTAACTATTCAGTCTGCCCCAATATTTTTATGATTGCCCTGGTTTTTCCATTGTAGCCTCATACATGTATAATATTTTTGTTAATGATAAGATGAGCAAAAGGAAAATGGGTTAAAGTTCAAAGATTTTTGTTAACTTCCTTGTGATATTTTGGTTAAATTTTAAACAGGTGCATCAACCTAATATGCTCGAGCTGAGAGATGATAGGACTGAGACTTACCTACGTATGATCCGAGAATATCTCAACCCACAAACTCAGGTGGTTGTAATCATCTTTCCCACCTCAAGAGATGACCGTTACTCTGCAGTGAAAAAGTTGTGCTGTGTAGAAAGTCCTGTTCCTTCTCAGGTAACATTGTATGGCATCTTCCAGGGTCATGTAATTTTTTAATCATGTTTCACTATTGCTTATTGTATCAAGGTTCTGGGTATAGTCAAGGTACAAGTTAATCTATTCAAGTGGATATCCTCGGGAATTTTTTATCTTGAAAGAGTTGGCCATCCGTTTGTATTCTGATGTATTAATAGGAGAGAATTCTCCAGGGTCTCTGTGTTGCCTAGTCTATTTTTTTTTTCAATTTGCTTCCTTTGAACTGCTTAATAATATAATTTTTTGTCATCTGTCAGCTTCAAAAATGCTTTCTTTGTCCTTCCTATCCTCTAGGTTATCAATGCCAAGACAATTTCACAGCAGAACAAACTACGGAGCGTCACGCAAAAGATCGCCCTGCAGATAAACTGCAAACTGGGCGGAGAACTATGGGCACTAGACATTCCACTGGTCAGTAAAATTATTGTAACAAGTATCACAAATCAGAAGGGCTGTCAGGATATTGGCATTCCATTTTATGCATATTTTGTCTCAGTCGTTTTGAAACTTGCTAGGGAAATTTGAAAACCTTTTAAAAATGTCAGTGAAACTGTTTCTTTGACTGGATCCATGCGTTTGCAATTGATTGTTTGTTACAGATAGTAAAAATGTCTTTTGTCCCAGTATGACATAAGGGTTATGTCACCCCTGAATCAAACACTAAGGTCACGAAAATCGAGGCCGGAAATGATCACCAACTTATAATGCTCTTTATTTTTAAATAAATTCTCCTGGTCAGCTTTTCAGGAAATGTATAGAGAACAGTATGGAGAATATGCATACTGATTCAAGGGTGTAAAGGGTTAACTTGAAGACTGTTTGGAACTTAGTCCTTAGGCGGCGAGCAGGTCCTAATTAGTAGCGCTGCAGGACGCGCGTTTTTGCGCCCATAGGAAGATTGGAGACGAGTGGGTAGAGATTTGTGGGGTCTTAAAGTCATCATTTTCAGCCCTTTAAGACCTCGTGTCGGTTCGCGTAGCTTGAGAGGTTGTAATTTTTCGTTGGTGAATTAACGCTCGTGCCAAAGCGCCAGTTATCGGAGAGCTTGTTGCTAGGCTACTTGGTCCTGAACAGTGATGCATGTTGTCCAATGACCACATGCAGCATCGTTCTTCCGTTAAAGTTCTCTGAATGCTTCCCCATGAAACAATTTTTCCCCACATTTTTCTAATAATGATGCAACTGTCATGCTCATCTTGTTAACAGAAAAGCCTTATGGTGATTGGTATTGATGTTTATCATGATGCCTCCCGCGGCGGCCGATCAGTCTGTGGATTTGTAGCAAGCATGAATAAGAGTCTAACTCGGTGGAATTCAAGAGTGTGTTTCCAGTCACCTGGTCAGGAACTCATTGATGGGCTTAAGATGTGCTTTGTTTCTTCTCTGAAAAAGTATCACGAGGTGGGTTATTTGGTCTTATTTCGGATCATTTTTTTTGTAGAGATTGATGAATTCTTTAGAATAATTTCAAGTCCTAAATGAGTAGTCTAAATGGTACTTTGTTTATCATTCACTGGTTATTCTCTGTATGTTCGTGTAGATCAATCACGCGCTGCCCGATCGTATAGTTGTTTACCGTGATGGTGTCGGTGATGGACAATTGAAGACTGTGGCTGGGTATGAAGTGCAACAGCTCTCCGAGTGTTTTGTCCACTTTGGTGGTAACTATCACCCCAAGATAGCAGTGGTGATCGTGTCAAAGAGAATCAACGCACGAATCTTTGCAGCTCAGGTTAGTGAGACCAGATATGAAATGTTTTATCCTGCAGTTCACAATAAATGTCGCGTCATAAGTTGGTGCTGTGGTAAAGGAATGTAGTTCCATTGAAAGCCTACTATTTGTCTCAATAAGTCGATTTTATTTACTGTCTAGGCAAAGTTATAGGTGCGCAGAAGTGAGTTTAGTTCAGTAATTTCAATTTTGTCTCTGCAGGGAGGTGGACCCAGGCCCAAACTTGATAACCCCGGTCCCGGCACCATACTGGACCACACAATCACAAGGAGAGACTGGTATGTCGAAGGGGTAACCTTGTTATCCTAAAATTGTTGAGCGGCATACTCTATGCGTATCACTGGACTTGCCAATCTTAACAAAAATTCTTTAAACTTGCTGTAAACCCTCTGAAATAAACTTCTGCCCAGATCTAATGTCAAGAAAATAGTTTTCCTCATTCTTAGAGACAAACGTGCACATGATAACCACCTATCTGGATTATAATTGCAAAAGATAATTGTCTTTTGCTCTGCTATCAAATCGTGTGGTTATTCTGATTTTTTGATGCTCTCAGTTGAATTTCAAAGTGGAACAGTTGGTTAATATAAGTTTTGATGTTTTCCTTTTGCAGGTACGACTTTTACCTCGTCAGTCAGCATGTACGGCAGGGAACAGTTACCCCAACCCGTTACATTATTGTACACGACAAGTCAGAGTTGAAACCAGATTACATGCAAAGGTAAATGGGACCAAGTTCCTCCTCTGTGTTTGTTCTTCGCTTGCGACCAATAGAGCAAGGTCGTATTTGGCATTACGCAACTCGAGCATTCATTTAATGTCTTCTGAAAATATATAGCGAGAGAAGTCATGGTGCGAGTAGTGGTTCTATTTACGATTGCTTTGTTGGAATATCAGGGTTTCTCCAGATGGCTCTCTCACTATGACAAAGGGCTAACGCTCGAAATATCAGCTTTGAAACTCTCTACGGTGACCCATTTACGTTGTCAGCTCAGTTGATAATACTAAATTACCCTGCTATACTCTCCCGCCGACGCAGCCAGCACCCCCTTCGTTCATTTCTCCAGATGGGTTGGCGAGGGTGAGGTCATTTTCAACAACAGTATCTTAAAGCATACACCATGCTTAGCATGGTGTATTACAAAGTTGGTACTTGTGACTTGTTTGGGAAATATGGTTTACTGGGAAGGAGTGAAACTAACTTAAGTTATGAGAGTGGGTAGGAAAAGGCTGCCTCCGGCCAAAAAAGATCGGCCAGTATGTCCGTATGAATTCTGCTCGTGTTTTTCTCCGAATCCGGCGTATAAAATCGCGTAGTTCTCAGTTTTGTTTCATCATTTTGAAAAAATCCCTTTTTCTTTTGGTTATGTAATTCATACTTGTAACACGTTAACGACATAATTTTGAACGTTTCTGTGTACTATATGAGCAACGTTTCCGAAGTTCTCTATAGCTTTGTTGTTATTTTACAGGTTATCGTACAAGCTTACCCATCTCTATTACAACTGGCCTGGTACAGTCAGGGTGCCTGCTCCATGTCAGGTATGTCTTGGGTGGTAGTTGTTAGTTGTCAGGAATGAGTGTCAATTATTTAATAATGATGGTTTGAAGATGTCTAAGTTGCCGCACCCTTGTCATTTCTTCACTGTTTTGTTATAACCATTGCTTGTTGCAAGTTTAGGATCTAAAGGTTTTTCAGTTTTTGCTTACGTTTAGAGAGAAAAACGAAACTCGGAGAAGGGGTTCGATAATTTGACTTTTATCTCTTGTTCTTGTTTTCAGTACGCCCACAAGCTAGCTTACCTTGTTGGTCAGAACATCCACAATGAACCGTCACATGATCTATCTGATCGTCTGTTCTTCTTGTAAACCAGTTCGGTGACGATAGAAGCTTTACGCTGTCTATCCACAGAATACGGACACACAAAAAAATTACATCGACGAGTCTCTATTCGTTGAATGACAAAATCCAGTCTTCTGGACCAGTTATGATCTGTTAAATGTACCATGTTGTTGGTTTGTTGCGATTATTGGACTATATGTAAATATTACCCTGAAAAAATATGTTGATAACCGAAAACATTTTGAGAGTCGTATCTCGAGAAGTAAGTTTTTAGTTTTGTAATACAAAGAATTAATTGAACGAAGAATCCCTTTGTAATAATCACGTGCCTGTGAGTAATAGGCGTGACTTATTTTAGAAGTTGAGATTCAGTTTATATAATTATTTACACAGCACAATCGATGTGAAGCTGAATAGGGAGTCGTATATCAGTTGTGGAGTCGTATGTTGTTCACGTTCAAAGTTGGCCTCCAAATACCTTTTTTGCTGTTTATTTGCAGCCTTTTCCCCACACTTTTTAAGATTGAAACGGTGAAATCTGAGACAGCTTTCTTTGAAAATTTATTCTCATTAAAAAAAAAAAATTTCTACTGACTCCATTGATTTATTGATATGTATTTAACAAATTCCCATTTCGTAAAATGCTGGCGGAATTTGATTTAAATGTGCAAGTTTCAAACCACAGGGGACTCTATTTATACGTTTTTTAGGAACTGAATGTTTTTGAATGTGTAAGTTTTAAGAAGGTAAGGAACTCTTGTGTGATCGGATAATATCGGATGTGTTATGAATTTCGCAACCATAAAGGGTTGCGTTTGAGTGGATGGCTCTTTGGTGTGCTTCATTTGAAACGAGTTCAGGAAAGTTGAAAAAGGAACACTGGAAATTACTGGCAACTAGACCTAATTAGCTTGTTCTTTCCACTAGAATAAAAGATACGCTCCAGTTCTGCCATTTAACCCATAGTCTCTAACATCAATATGCACATTCTCCATACTGTTCTCTACATTTCTAAAGGTGCTGACAAGGAGAATTTGTTTAGAGATAAGAGACGGTCAGTTTGAAGTTGAAATTGAAAACACTAGGCGTCCTGGTCGTAATCACAATTCCATCTTTTTATGTCAAGATGTGGACGGTAATTCTCCCTTATAGTTTATATTCATGTCCTTGTTAACAGGGTTCGACAACTGGCTACCTGCATTACTAGCCGCCGGACTAGTGATTTCTAAAATTTACCAGCCCGAAACACAACTTGGTAGCCCGGATCAATTTTCCTCGAGGTCTACTTCAACCTCAAACGCGCAAACCTTCCTCTTAACTTATTGGCAAGATTCTTTTAAAATGATAAAGAATGGCGTTTTTTCTTTCATTGTGATAACGTCATATGTTATTTATGGAAAAAGCTAAGCCAAGTGTGAGGCGATCGAGCGAGGCGATGTGCAAGGCACGCAACATTGGTAGGGAGAAGACTGGGGAAGACATTGACCATTAAGCGCAGAGACTGGGATCTAACGATGTTTACGATCGACACGCAAGACAAAAAAAGACGCTAGAAGATGATGGGTTTATGCCTTCTTTATTAGTATTGTCATTACAATGTAAACTTTCTTGTTATTTAATCAACTGTGAACTCAAGTAAACTGATTATATATAATTTCTTTCAACGTGGTTTTTTACTAGCTCGACCAAATTTTTACAAGCCTCGGGCTACCGAGCTAGCGGAGATGTCGAACCCTGTGTTAATAAGTCTAAAGAAGAAGATGTTCTACCAAGGAAACGCTCACTGTTAAATGTGTGTATTCAAATCTCGTTTTGTTGAAAAGTCTTTTTAACTTGCAAGGAGAAGTTAGAAGTAGATCACTTCGGTGTTGAGCAATTTTCAATTGAGTGTCGAAAGTAATCCGAGATTGCTTCGGTTTTGCTTTGTTTTGTGATTGGTCTAGGTAACAC